GAAACGTCATCAGCTGCATTTCCATTACAGATCTTTTGGACTTGCAGCGTTTCCATTAAATGAAATTAAAATAAGTTTGTTCGTGTGATAAGTCATTAAAAATCATGATGGAAACAGTAATGTGAGATATATTAATAGTTCATGCATGGCGCTGGTTCTGGTGTTTGATTCAGGTGATTTCAACTGGTGAAATGTTCCCCGATTTCAAAACTCACTGCAGAGGAAACGTTTAATGTATTCAGCCTGATGAGTTCAAACATGGATTATCTGATCAGCTTGTTGAATAATAAACAGAATGGAAATGAAATACAATTAAGTGTCATCATCATTAAAATAATTATCATTTTGACCACTAGTGAAAATGACGGAACCATAGCGCGACCTTGGCTCAAAACTATGAACATTTTTGTCCCCTCTACCTTCTGCAGTTTTTTTTTGTCACACTTGATATGAAAGTGATTTAATTAGGTTTGCCTGACGCAGCTCTAAAACCATGAACAGAAACCATCTGAAGCTGAATTAAAGTTTATTCAGAATGATTTATGACCTTAATTCTTCACATTTTCTTAATGTTTTTTAGGTTTTTTGCTATGAAATATTAAGTGAAAATCTTAATTTTTTAGACAGATTTGTAGAAATAAAAATGAAGTCTCTGGAAGCTGATGAGTTTTCTATTCAAGTCATTTTTTTCTTTTTGCTGAGGAAATGGAAATTGTTATTTTGTCACTGATCATTATTCAAGAATAAATTAGAAGTATGATTTATAAATGAAAATTTAGCTACAAAATGTTAGATTGTCATGGTAACTAGGACCAAATTCTGGTTTTTACTCTAAAGTTCACCGTGGTGCATCCAAGTGTTTTCAATGAAGACCTACACAGTTTCTGTTTGTATTGTTGAGAATAAATTATATTTTTTAGTTTTCTTCAATTGAGGCCAAAATAATAAACAAATAATAAACAAATTGGAGGCTTTCATTTCATTTTGTATCTACAATCTAGTTCCTATAAGAAAATATCATTTTCAAAGTTCATGTTTAGTTTGTTCAGTATGTTTAAAAAACAAATCAGTTTTATAAAATCTTTTTGTATTTTTGGCTCATCAGTTATTTTAATTTGACAATTTTGACCAACATGACACATTTTGAACACCTATAGTCTAAACCACAAAAAACAAAACATACATTAATAGTGGATTAAAATCAAGACGAAGAATTGAATAAAATGTATTTATTTTTTTTACCAAGTTACACCCCATCCCCAGAGCCACTAGCTACATAATCAGCCCTCCAGGATTTCATGATTGTTTTTGTGATTCTTTCCAAGTTAAAAAAAATTTGCAAGGATTTTTGCAACAATGTTTCCTCCTTCCAAAATAAACACACATAAATTTTATTCTTTAAATAACTCAAAGATCTCGATTTTAGTTTCTTGTGTTGATCTCAGAATAACATCAAGTCAAGCTGAGGCCAAAGTAAGAAATGCCGCCCACTGCAGGTGAAAGTCGGTATCATTTAAACTCGATGTTTTTGACTATTTTTGCAGAAAACTTGCAATAAACTCACAATTACACAGAAACGTGGAAAAATGTGGACATTTGTTGGTTTTGTGTGAATTTCTGCAATCATGAGAAACTTGAGGAGCTGACTGATTACAGCATAACAAACATGAAAAATATAAAATAGTATTTGTAGTTGGACAGTGCGGTGCCCGCTGGGAGACATGGAGGATTATTTTTCTTTTGCAGGCATACTGAATACTGAGAGTCTCTCTGCTGTAATGTTTTTCTACATATATGTTAGCATCTCGTTTGCAAGATACCTGAAGTTTAATATCTTTTTCTTTAGGATAAAAATGCACCACAAACATGCAAAATGCAAAAGCTAAACAGGCCAAAAATGGGCTTTCCATCTATTTCCATCCGATATAAACAGAAACTTTCCGTAAGAAGGAATGAAAGAAAAAAAAATACGTCCAGGCTATTAGGATTATTTGAGTTATTTTATCAGGGTAATGACATTATCTGACAATTTTGTGTTTTTTGTGTTGGTAGTTTAATGGTTAATAAAGAACCGTTTTCATGTGCAGTTCCATCTCAACTTTACACAAACATGCAGTGAATAAATCAATTTTCAATCAGTTTTGTTTGCACCAAATAGCTAATAATGTACATTATACGTTATAATCATGCTTATAATGTATAAGCTCTTTAATTTTAAACTGTATGCAAAATAGATCAGGGTGTATTTGCTAATTTATTGCGTGGGAATGCAAAAGAAAAACAATGTTCTCCATGTCCCCTACAGGATGATGCAAGAGTAAAAAGTGCAGAAAGAAAAATATAAAACGTAGCAAAAACATTTACAAAGAGCTTAAAATCTAAATATATAATTTTTATACAAAAAAGACTTTGCACACATTAGTGTATGTTTCTGTATTTTTATCTAGACCATATTGAAATATTTTTATAAAATCTAGAAAGACATTCAGATTAATGTTTACAGTCTTAGAGTGTTAGAGGTATTTTGCTTCAGTACAACGTTTCTCCAGTTGATCATGGCAGATGGCTGCCTGGACTCAGCCCGGTTCTGGTTCTGCTGGAGGTTTCTTCTCGTTAAAGGGGAGTTTTTCCTCTCCACTGTCGCTGCATGCTGAGCATGAGAGATTGATGTAAACTGAAGCACGTACTGTTGCTACGTCCAGGAGGAGAGAACGCTAAAGGTCAATATGCTGGGTTTCCTCAGATAGAAACTTTTTAAGCTCATTTGAATAATTAACTTAAGTTAATGCACTGTTGATAACTTGGTTTAATTGGAATGTATGTGAGATTGAAATGAAATTGTTTCTTTTATAAACTGCCTTGAAATGACATTTGTTGTGAATTGGAACTTCATAAATAACAATCAACCATAACTATGTAAAACATCTGGAATCTAAAGATTTGATAAAATGTTAAAATAGTGTGCAAAGTCTTTAGAGTTTGATTAAAAACACTATCAGCAGAGCAGCAGATAATAAAGAAAGTTAAGAGAATGTTCTGGACACGGAAGAACCAGATTCTGTGAGGTCAAAGGTCTTCAGACATCAAGCTGCTGCTGATTTAGTTTCCTGTAAAAAACAGAAACTTTCAGTTAATTACTGACTAAATAATCAACCTGGAAGTCTGATAAACTGAAGCTAAACTCCAGTCTTCTGCTCCACTGTTCCAGAAACACTTTAATAATCTGAGTGGAGCCTCTGCTGATGGATTCAAACCTCTAAACTATTTCACCTGAACGAGACCAAGATGGGGCATCAAACAGTAGAGATATAATATATTACTGTCCACTGAAGCTGCTGTAATATTAGTAATGTTGTTATGGCAACATTAAAGTTTAAAAATGGTTTTTCCATGTGTTAGAGGTAAACTAAGCTAAACCAGTCTGGTCTGAATGAACAAGTTCTTCTCCCTAAAACTGATAACTGATTGTGTCAACTTTAGTCCCAGTGGGAGAAAAACTCACAGCAACAAACCGCTTTATTCAGCAAATCCACTTTAAACCATGCCAGTCGGTTCAGGTCCATTTCCTGGATCAGATGAGTTGGTGCTGGATCCATCAACTGGAGTCTGAGGAACCAAAAGGTTCAGAGAATCAGAGATTAATGTCCAGCTGCTGCTTCACCTCATGTCACCGACCTCTCAGGAGAAGAGACCTGATATGAAGAGAAACTCTGAGACCAACTGAAAGAATCACCTTCTGGGATTTATGGCGTTTCCACATGATGTACATGGTGATGATGATGATGATGATGACAGCAAGTAAACAGACCACCAAAATTATATGACCTCTGCCTCCACCTGAGTGGAAGAGGAAACAGTTTTACTGTCCAACAGCAGAATTTAAGTTTAACTCTTTAAGAAAGTAGAAAATTGAAATGAGTTGATGTCTGATTTTCTTTAAAACACAGAAGGAAAAAGAAACTTACTGTCACTGTTTGGTTCAGTGACTCCTGGAACAGAAGAGAAACATTTTTTGTTATTTGAAAGATGTATTTTCTGATTTTATCCAGAAATTATCTGGATTATTTGAATCAAACTTCAATTCTTCCTGAATCTGATCAGAAACCATCTCAGAGATTTACCTGAAACACTTTAATAAAACCAGAGATGCTGCTCATGTCTCTGCTATATATGAAAATATCAGACTTCACAAGTAAAATTAGCAAATACTCACCGATGTGTTCTGGCTGAGGACAGTCTGGAACAGAAACACCAGGATTAGTTCAAACTGTTCAGTAAACCATGGAGCAACAGGAGGCATCTGGGGTCAGGCTCTGGAGCGCCACCAATAGGGTCGAAAAGGCAACTTCAACTCTTAACAGCTCCTTAAACTTACCAGAGCTCACCCCAGTTCAACCAGAGGGCTGTTTCACTAAAGTAGGATCATGAAACCCAGGATAAGAGATAAAACCACATAGCACACACAGCTGGATGATTAATTGTCCCAGAAATTATTGCGATAAATGATAACATTTTCATTTTGAGACTATTGTTAACTAATAGCTAGATCAATAGAAAGATCAATAAACTTATTTCTAAATAATATGTTAAAAATACAACATACAACATAAAATAAACAAGGAGTAAATGAATATAACAAGAGGAGCCATTTTCATGCTACTCTCTGGGTTTTAGTGTGAAATCTAGAAACTTGTTCAAATATAAAAATGTTTGTGGGTCTTCTTACTGGTCTTGTTGAAGCTGATGTCTCCATGTTGACCCTCGAATAACAGCTCCTCCTCGCTTGTCAAGTTGCATAAAACCATGACGACGGTTTCTGACCATTTGACGCAAACAGAACATTTACGTTTTGATGCGTAAATGGACGAGAAGTCGCAGGAAGCCAACACTGAACCATTTCGGTACCAGAAGTCTCCATTGCTGATATGCTTGTTGTACACCGTATCGATGGATTGAGCCTCTGACAAAGGGCAGCTGTAGCAGCTGTAGTTGGCCTGAACAACAAGAAACAACAGGCTTCATGTCAACATGCAGCAGAAAGTTCAAGACAAACAGAATTAAAGCTAAAAACTCCTTCAGCTCTGGGACAAAATGATGGCGAAAAAACTCAATCAGTGGTGAAATGAAAGCAAACTGGAAACTGATTTTAAAGCCCTTTTTGCACTCCAGGGTCCGGCCTGGCTCGGCCCAGTTCGGTTCAACCTGGTCCCATTGGTGTCATGGCCCTGGTCGTTTTGCATTGAGGAGGATACATCACGTACATCGACCCGTTGCTAAAGCTACCGAGGCGATCTCCCCAGTGACAGCAGAACAGTTTTCTTCTTGGGTCTCCCGTCCTGCTTTTTCTCATGAGCGAGGAAGCTGAGGAAAACATTTACCTCAGCTTTACATTTAACGAAAAAATTAATAAATAAATAAATCTCATCTTAATGTCGTCTCTGAGCTGGACTCGCAGCCAGCTGAACTACCGCTGCGGCAGCAGGATTTCCCGGCTGGAACGATGCCAGATGCAGAAATCCCCTCTTTCACAGCCTAAACGACTTCCGATTGGTTCATTTGGAGAAATGTTATTTACATTTACCATTAAAATCTTTGGCTGAAGAGGCAAATGTAATTGCAGTGTAGGGTAAGAATAGATTATGACGGGAATTTATTGATGCAGCATATTGAAATGACAGCCATCAGCGCTCCTCTGATCCAGAGATCTGGTCTTTGTCCCGCCCCAACAGCCAATGAACCAATCAACAGCTAACTCCAAACCGGCCTGGTCTGGCTGGCCCGATTGGAACCACAGCTCTCTGGGCTCCAGGGAACCGGGCGGTACCGGGCTGGAAGCGCTAATGCAAAAACGATAGCCAGGCCGACCCGGGTCCAGCTGTGCAGTGCAAAAGGGGCTTAAGTTACAAGAATCAGACCCAAGATGTTAAAGAATATCAAATAGAAACAAGATCCATCCATCCATGAAATTCAATAAGTAAAACTGCTTTTTAAACAGCTGTGGGGGAATATCTCCTCTCCCAACAGGAAAAACTGGGAAAAGAGAAAGCTAGCTCCTCTCTAAACATTAAACTCCATTCTGGAAGAAACATAATGCTTTAATTCAAGTTTAGTGGAAAGATTTAGCTTAAAGACATAAGAGACCACACCCCAAAATGCTTTTCTCTGCAATTCATATTTTAATTGGCAATAAATTGAGACAAGGTGTAGGATTAAATCAGAAAAATAATGCTAAGCTAATTATTTTGTTCCTGGTTATGTGTCCACAAGTTTTCTCTTGTCCAAGTGGTCACTTATTTTCTTTGCTTTAAAAAAACTGTTGGAAATAAGCAAAACTAATCAAAACCCACAAGAAAATTTAGTACAGTAAAGTGACCAGAGGTGATTAAAATAACTGAAATTATATTCAAATGAATATATCTTAAACTAAATTAAAATCTTGCATCAATAGCAACAATGTTGCTAAAAATAGTTTCATTAAAAAAAGAAAAGAAACCTCTAAACTACATTTGAGGATTTTACTTTTCCAGATTCAAACAAGCACATACCTCTGTCTATTTGGCTATTTTTTAGTACAAGTACAAAAGTTGAGAATGAATGTTATATGAATGTTTCTGCATTAAAGTTTCAGATATAAAGCATGACAGATTGACTAACGGACAAACAAATGGCAGATGCACAGAAGAATGGTGGACCAACAGATAGAAAACTTCTGGACAACTGGACAGGGAATGAAGTCTGATTTTTTTTTTACTTATTATGACCTTAAAATCTCAGACTTATTGTATTATGTGGAAACCCTCCATTGTCTTTTCTCATTTATCCTCTCTGGTTTCTTTTTATTTTGATCTCTGTCTCACAGAGACTAAAGTGTTTAGTCACTCTACTTGTTGATTAAAGTCAGTCTGGAGTAATTTATTACAAACAAAAACAAAGTAAAAAGAAAATATATGATTTTTAATTTATATTCCATTTGGACACCAAAAAAAGTGTCCAGCGTTGTTACACCTACAGCCTCAAGGCCTGGAATTTAATGTTGATTTGCAAGTAATGTGGATTATACATTTGATTCCCTCAAATCTAGTATTTGTAATGCAGGAAATTCCTGCTCATAATCCCAGGGATGTGTAATAACGTGGTCAGAAACCAAAACGAACGGGAAAACTTCCAGCTATCTCCCCTCTCTCTAAAGGAAGAGATCCCTCTACTGTCCCAGTATCTCTTACTTGCAAACCACCATTGTATAATTATATATTATAATTGTACAATATATGAAAAGAAAATATTAAGCCCTACTAACATATTCTTTCACCAGTGTAATGCAGAAAATAACCCAGACGTCCCTGAGCCTGTGGTAGCCAGCTAGAATATTAAGTATATGTCCATGTTACTTACTTCTACTGGGATGAAGGCCAAAACCAATGTGAATAACATAAATGTGTGAGCCTCCATGTATTATGAGCCTGGAAAAGAAGAAGAAAATAGTCAATTTATGTGAATAATTAAGTTTTTTTATATATATATTTGTAAAATCGTTTCCTTTATGTAAATAAAGAAATGTTTAAGGTAGTTTACATTTCTGTTTAAATATGGTTCAACTTTGTGTTCATTCATCGTGCATGATGGATAAAACTCATTTAAACAACAGTCATTTAAATGTCAGAAATCAAAGTTCAGCCATTAGCTGAGCTATTAGCTTAGCTTCTCAACTGGAAAAGAAACAAACTCAGTAAAACTCTGTTCAATTGCACTTTTTGTAGCTTTACACCATATACAAGTTGTTGAATCGCGTTGTAAAATATCCGTCACTAAACCGAGTTTGTTGTACACATATTTTAAGGACTCTTAAATTAGCAATCGCTAGATTCCGGTTAGCTCGTCCGGAGCTCTGCAAGCTCGTCGGTTAGCTTGCAGTGCAGTGTTATCTGCGCTGCATTAAAATAACACAACTTTGCAGCCGTAACTACTTTGGGAGTTCATGACTCGGATAAGTTTTGATTGTGTTGGTGATTTTTAATAAACAAAGGCGAAACCGGCTACCACTAATGTAGCCGGTTTTGTTTTCATGTTTAGCGGTGCTACATGTGAATCAGATCACCCCTAACTCTAACCCTAAAATCGTTAAAAGTCAAATAAACACGTTATGTTTAATGACCGGATATTAATTTAATCATAATTCTTTTTAGCCAACCTTACCGTGACTGACTGATTAAAGGACAGCGCTGTCAGAAGGACGACAGCAAGAAGGGATATTTGGGATATTTGCAGATGTACACATCTACGTCATGCGTAATGCGTCATGACGAGCGCTGAGTTTTACGTTACATCCCCTCCATCTTGAATGTGGAGCGATCAGAGCTCTGTATGCTGTGTGGGAGCGTTTCAACCGTTTTATAGTAGAAACTGGATTCATTGGCATTACCTTTCACAGGTAAGGATGAAAGAAAAATTACAAAGAAATTCTTTGGAGCATAATTTCTTAACGTTGTAGTCAGAGACTAGCTTCTAGCCAACCGATAAGTATTTTCTATGGCCGGAAGTAACTACTCTGTTAATTTCTTAGCGTAGCTAACGTTTTCATACTGTGGTTTCTAATGGCAGAGAGCTGATGAGAAACCGCTGTTAAAGGGGAAGTGCATTTAAGACCAGGGGATTTTGTGAGGAAAGGTCAGTCGCATCACAGCTCAGCTTCACAATGTCGGTGTTTAACTATGTTGTAAAGATGCTACGAGTCAGAGCCCCAATTTGCTGAAAACATATGTTCATTCTGAATGTGAAGGAATCAGTGATGTATTTTCTATTACACTGTCAGATAATTTCTCTTTTCTCCTTGGCTTTAGCCTGTGTCTACGAGGACGTCTCGGAAGTCACTGGACTGCTCCCAGTTTGACCAGCAAGCTGAACCCTGCCTGTGGCCAGTGTTCCCAGTATAATATACATAAATAAATCTGTGTTTTATTGCACACTTTTATTCTTTCACTTTTTGTCTATGGTGTGGCCCACTATGCCGCTGTCGTGTATTTACACAGCAGATCCTAGTGGAGGCGTAGCTAGGTTGATTTCAACTGTGACCAGAGAACACCACTGGAGCCATTACATAAGAAACCGTTACTTTATGCAACCTAATGCTACATTTCAGAGATTCTGATTTTTGTCGACCAACAGTGACTGTAAATATTCTGCCTTGAAAAAATTTAAATAAATGCATTCAGCTTTTATTGTTTCCTCACACCAAAGTTACATTTAAAAATTGAGATCCTTGAAAATAGTTCCTTTTACTGATGGGTGAAAGGTTAATTTTGCATTTGAACTTTATTGGTTATGATTGGTTGCTTTGAATATATATAAATAGGGGTGGGAGGTAGGTAGAATTGAGCTACCTTGATCCTAATATTTGTAAATCAACTGTTAACTTCCGAAACATTTTTTACAAGTGACATGTAGCTCAAGAAATATAAATCTGATATAAAATGCACAATGCAAGCAACCATCTTTGTATGCTGAAGTATTTTTGACAGATTACAAAATTGAAATTTTTATCCTATGTACTCTTTTCTTTCTTAAAAGTCACTATAATTTTGTCATTATCAACTGGTGCAGTAATTTAATTGGTTCTATGTCAGTTTATTGAAAATTATCTTTAATAAACATTCAGTTATTCACACTGTATGAACTGGGATTTAAATAGAAAAATCAGTCAGAGATCATAACAGCTGTTCTTCAGGAGGTCAGGCCTCCTCCGCCTCATTTGTGCTCTCAGGTTGGTGGCAAGTTTGTGAACAAAACACCCCCACCGGAAAGTTCGGGTGGGGGTGTTATGATGGTGTTTTAAATGAGTAAAAATTATGGTGTAATGAACTTACACACGTAAGCTGTTGATTTTTGTAAGACTTTTTTATACAGAAAGAAATGGACGAAATAAAAAGCTATTTTACAGAAAGATTACTCAAGTACCAAGTGATCATAAGAAGTTAATGTTTTAAAATAATGTCATCAAGTTGACAAAAATGGAGTTATGTGCAAATTCTGGAAAATTTATTTTTAGATATTTACGACGTAAGTGTGGATAATCAGACGAAACCGATTTTATGTTAAAACGACTTGCCATACATGAGTACATCAGAACCAGTTGGATCGCCATTACGGCCTCTAAGGCATGGTCAGTATCTCTACTCTGTCTACAATATTATTACAAACATTTTTCTGAAAAATACACATATCAGTGTGACGTGTGCAATCGAGCTGTGAACAGCCATGTTTGCTGAGCAGTCACTGTGGTGTTTCCACATTAAACTTTGATGTTTTTAGTAGTAAAACATTAATAATTATCTAAAACAAGAACTCACCATTTTACTCTCCGTCCTGTTGGCCTCTTGTAGAAGCTGTTCAACAAACTGTAGAAAATAAAGTCGTCCACAAATGGAAAAGCTCCAACATTACCAAACGAAAAATCACTGACGTTTTAACCCAACTGAAGGCTGAGTAAGGCCGCCATCTCCGTCCTCCGGGTTTTTTATGGCAGCCTTACAACCACGATTCGTCGTCCTCGGTCCAGTTAGTACCGATCCATAGAAAGAACACGATGATAACATTTTTAGATAAAATATAAAAACCCTCTAAGGCCAGTTAAATATTCTCCTTTTCTGGACACAGCAGTTAGAGGAAATGTAACCTTCCTTCGGTTTTATTCGTTTTAGAAACTCACGGACGTTGTGAGGGGAAGGGAGAGACGTTAGTCTGCTCCTCCCCTTACATGCGTGCTTTGTCTGATTAATTCTCTTCTACGTCACCTCTACGTTTCAGGACTTGCAACCATGTAAAAAAAATAAATAAATACATAAATAAAATAAAAATAATCTAACCATGAATCCTTTGGGCCTACAAAGACGGTACAAGTGAGCAACAGCCTACAGAATAATTTAGAAGGGAAAAAACGATAATAATATGACAGACTGAAGGACTGAATTAAATAATATAAATATATTTAGTTTTCTGATAAATATATTTAGTTTTCTGAAAACAAATCACTTTGTGAATTTAAATCCAAATATTTAAAACTATTTATGAATCGAATCAGGATGAAAATGTTGCTGATTTTATTCTCTCTTGATTAATCATCACATTTCTAGCTGAATATAAACAAAAAATATCTAAACCTCATGTGAATAATGATTTTTTTTTTTGTTTGCCTCTGTATGAGGAACTTCATACGATCAACTATGATTATTTTTTAAGTTTAATCTTTACTTCTTTGTCCAGGGTTTTACAACCTCAGGCTCCAACATTTGGATTTTTTAACTAAGAATAATAAGGAACCAGCTAATATTTGATATTGATATTGATGTAATAACGAATCCAGGATTTAGGAGTTTTTTTTTTCATTAAATAATTTCACTTCTATTCTCTCTTTGCATTTCCACAGTAGAAAGATACTAAAAGTACCAGTATCTTTTCTTTATATCAATTTTCTTTTCATCTGTTATGTTTAATAGTTTAAAAGAAGCAAGAGTTTGGAATGATCCAAATGATTTATTGAAAACGAACAAGTCTAGGCAGCAACAGCACAAGGAAAGAAGTCAAGTATTCATTTGTACATTTCAGCAACCAGGCAAAATGCTTTACCTGAAACACAGTAACCGTTATGAAGCAAGAAACAAACGTTACATTTTGTCAAATGTCATCACAATCATCAAGAATAATCATTAATAAATTTATGAATCAATGTTACAGTTACTACTAATCAAAGACAAGTCTAAAAAGGTGGATTTTAGCCTTGATTTAAAGCTGCAGTTTGTAACTTTTATTTAAAAATATAGAGAGATTTTTTACATATTTGTTGCAATTGTCACCATGTCGTGACAATATGTAATGAGAAAGATAATCTCTCCTCTGCCTTTTCCCACTGCTGACTAGAAACAACCAATCAGAGTAAGGAGGTGGCAGATAAACGGTTTTCCTGTAACGGTCAGTTGTTTCTCTGTCATTAGCACATTTAGCAGCGAGTGCACGAGGATGATTGACAGCTGTAAGACCCTTCTCCTGGATCATTAATGCCACGGCTGCTTGTATCTTAATCTACCATTATGTACTTGCACCAGGAATTTTTCTCTTTTTTAATGATTTAACGTTTTTTAAAACATGAATACAAAATATTGCTGTACTTTGACGTGTATGGAGATAATTTTGGCCTTAACCTGCCAACATAAAAAGCTATAAAGATGTTTTCAGAATTGGCACAGTGAGATCTTTGAAGCTGTGTAACCTTAACCAGATGGAGCGTGTATGAACTGAGCAGAAATGAGCCGAGAAAAGAGCCTGGAGAACCCTGGAATAGATTTCTGTTATTCAGTTTTTCTTTCAATTTCTTTAGTTGATTTAAGTTTGAAAGTTTCTTAAAGCAGTGATGTCAACTTTCAACATTTTTATTTGATCTTATTTTGATAATAATTGCAACAAATCAAATTCTCTTTTGATTTAACTCTTTTGTTTGGTTTTTCATTATATGCTTTATTCACAAGCCTAAGCCTGAAGAGCTGTTTGAGTTCATGAGCATGTGAGCAATTTGATTGTATTATGAAAAATATTCTTGTGTAACAGATTATTTTATTTACAGGAACAACACAAAAAAATACCATTTGCCACCTAAAAAAATAGATGGAAATCTAGAATGCATAATAAATTGTGATAGGCTGCATTAGGTTTTGCCATTCTGACCATTTTAGTTTTTAATTATTTCAATGCCTATCGCAGGGGAAATATTTAATCATTTAGACAGCAAAACTAGGAAGTTGTGCTAAACGGTTTGACTGCAGAAATAAGAACGAGAGAGGGGGATGGGAAGTGAGAGCAAAACACATTATTCAGACAGTCGACCTGAATCAGTGACAATAAACAGAGCAAATACTTCATCACAGGACTTCACATTTTTAAACTTGTTTGGTTTCACTGAAAGTTAAAGGTAATTTAGTAATTGCTCTTCTTGCAGTGGGACTGAGAGGATTACACAGAACAAACGACTCCGTGGTTCTGCAGTTACATGTTTGATTATTTTCAGGACTCTAAGTGCAGCCAAAGCATAAAGCAGAATTGGAAATGTTCCAGAAAGGTGGAGTCAAAATATAATCCCCCTTTCTTCTCAGTAAAACTACAAAAATGTGAGCAGAGAGAGAAACTTGAGCTCTGCACTGTGAAAAGCATTGCACTTTATTTTTGAGGAAAATCAAAGGACAATATCTATGGGGGAATTTTACTGCCATAAGTCAAGAGCACACGTTTGAAAGCAGGATCTCATCTCTTTCTCAAAACTTGTAATACTTGCACTCAGAACTTCTTTCTTTCAAATATTCTCTGTGCTCACGCAAATCTTTGTGCTCACGCTCACATTTTCCCCTCTTGCGTAAAACTTCTCTGCACAGATTAGCTCTCCGCTCACAAACCTCTTTGCTTGCTTGCAAATTCTTTTCTACTCTCTCTCAAAACAAAAAGTAATACCACCTACATTCCAGCCACTAGAATGAAATTGTAGTGACAGCCTCCCATTAATTTATTTAATCCCAGCTTCGATCCCTAATATCCCTTTTTTCAGGTAACAAGTCATTTTATTTAGTGGAATATAAAAACATTTACTGTTTAATGACTCAAATATAGATAAACATGTATCCTGTTTGGGTTTCAATATTATTATGTTAGTTTTTAATAATTTGCTTTCCTCTTTTAGGGGAAATATTTCATCATTGTTGAATAATACTAAAACTGGATTTTTAGACAGTTAAAGAGTAACTTCAGAACTGCTCTTCTTGCAGTGGGACTGTGTTTCTCACCAACATCAGGTAGATTTAAGAGTTAAATGACTTGATGGTAGAAACTTTATTTCAGACTCCAGGTCCAACTGAAAATGGAGAATATGACAACTAACCAACCAGATATCTACAATCATCTAAAAATAAAATACATGTCCATATTATTAAGAAAATTATGGACAACACTGGCCATACTCTTTATGAGGTTGTCTTGAGAAAACACAGTGTCTTCAGTAAGAGGCTTCTTCAAATTTGCTGTGATACAGACTGCTACAGGAGATCCTTCCTCCCAACAACCATCGCTATTTACAATTACTTTGAGTTAATATGAGTAAAAACAAAATTTCATTTTCCTTTGGGATCAATAAAGTATTTTTGAATTTGAATAAAATTTAACACAAAATTGCATAAAATGTAATAATGGATAACTGCCAACACAGCAGTGAATGGTATCATGTAGAGCTCAACCAGAAGTTTACTGAGATTATTTTACATTTAATAGTTTGTCCTCAAATGTGCAGTAAATAGAAGTATACAGTATGCTACAAAAAGACAAGTTTTGTCTGAGCACAAACTGAATTTTCATGAAAGGATTTTAGTCATATCATCATCATCATCATCATCTGTCACATATTCTGTAATGAAATGATCAGAATATTTATTTTTTTCACTGACAAACTGTATTCCTCAATGATTTGAATTCTGGACATTTTATATGTTTGCTCTGTTTAGTTCAACAGATCATGACATCTTACAGGCATTATGATTAATATAAAGCTTTACACCACAGATTTGCACTTCATGGACTAAAAACCACAGAATCTGCAGGCAAAATATGATTCACTAATAGATTTCCAACAAAACATCCAGAGTTACATGCATTCAGTTTCAGAGAGTTCATCCATGTGAAGATTTAATAAAGCCGATAATAAGATTCCTCCTTGCCTAACTCTGCTGCTGACACGTTTGGCTCCTTTCCAGCAACAGGCAGTCAGCTTCCTGGAAACGGGAGGAAAACCACATGAGGAACACTAGATCTGCTTAACCCCTTCCTGCCTGCAAAACTGCAGACAGGAAGTAAACCCAACCGAGCAGTTGGGTTTATTTTTAAAATTATTCCTAGGTAAAAGGTTGTTTTCTTTAGAGGAATACTGTTTGAAGCCTCAATTACTGATAAATATGTAGACTGCAATACAAATTAATAGTTTTAGTTTTTGATCATTTTACATGTACTCATGTAAAAAAATAAATAAATACATAAATAAAATAAAATAATCTCCTAACCATGAATCCTTTGGGCCTATACGGTACAAATGGGCAATAGTCTACAGAATTATTAAGAAGGGAAAAAATGATCGTAATATGACAGACTGAAGGATTGAATTAAATAATATTAAAATATATATTTAGTTTTCTGAAAAATTAAATCACTTTGTGAATTTAAATACAAATATTTAAAACTATTTATGAATCGAATCAGTATCTAAATTACACATTTAGAATCTGTAATTTAGTCCAAACATTCAGAAAAATGTTAAATCTCCCAAACACTCTCGCAAAGTGATTAGATTTGATATTCAAATCTACTTACTAGATTTGAATTTTAGTGACTCGATAGTGAAAAACTAAATTTTTATTTGATTCATCAAATCTTGACAGAAAATATGAGGAGAGGAGAAGATCACCTTTTTAGATTTTTTAACATGTAGACTGCAGGCCTTAAGGAAACATCTGTCCTCCACATGGTTCTCTCCCTGCTTTTGTATATTTTATACACACATGACTGCAAGAGTGCCTTTAAAAACAGGCATCACTTTAAGTCTGCTAACAACAGTTACATCTAATTGTTCACTACCTTCAGCACCTTTTAAGAGAAAAAACAAAAAGCTAAACCTGGATAAAACAGCAAAATAATGTAAATGTCAGAGAAGGAGGAATTCAAATCTTAAATGCAAAAAGAGTATTTATCACCCTTTATTGAAGTCTCTCAAATCCCACAATTGGTTTTAAATATTTTTCTATTAGTTGTGAATAATCCAGTCCAGGTTTGAAGAGTCTAGATCAGTAATCCCCAAAGTCGGTCCTGGAGGCCCGGCATCCTGCATGTTTTAGTTCTCTCCCTAGTTTAGCGCATCTGGATCAAATGATGTCTCGTTAGAAGGCCTAAGAGGAACATTGACATGCTGAAAAGGTTGTTTCTACCACCAGGGAGAGAACTAAAACATGCAGGATGCCGGGCCTCCAGGACCCACTTTGGGGACCACTGATCTAGATGTTGTAGTTTTTTAACTGCAGTAGATTAAAGATGCTGAATGTAGCAACAAATTTCCCGAATCGGAAGCTACAATCGGAAACCAACTTTGTGAGGAGAGGAACCGAGAATCGTTCAGTCATTATTAGACCGGGTCTGGCTGACTCATTTATTTAGGTAAATTGTTATTTTTGGCTAAATACTATAGGTAAGTGACACAAGCGGCATTCTGACGCACAGATTAAAAAAATTACATGAAAAAAAGATAAATAAATTGGCTCAAAAAGAAGCATCAAAGGAATGTTGGAGCATCAGAGAACCAAGACCCCTCCGCCCACCTCACAAACCTCAGGCTGGTGGCTTGTTTATGTCCAGGATTCCTCCTTTCCAACGAGTGGCAAGCTTCAGTCTGTTTAGCTTCTAATGTGACGCCTTTGGATTCCAGGAAGGCGGCATGTGCTCGACTCACAGCACGGGTATAAATCTCTTTTTAACCGGTCCAGTACGATCACATCCTTGATTATGTTCCAGCTCATTCACTCGCTTTTCCAGATGACTGATTTTCTTGTCCTTTTCGTCGTTTTGAAGGTGAAGTGCTTTTAATTCGTCAACAAAGTCCTTATGGTGAAGCCGCATTGTTGCAACTTGTAACTGTGGACTGTAATTTTTTGGCCCCATGATTCAACAAGCTCCAAAGTAGAGCATTTCCGGAAACCTTTAAAGAAATAATTCCACGATTTTTAAATATTTTCAGCATTTACCGTTTGCCTTCGTGTGAGTTTGAGCGTAAAGAATGAGGACGGAAAGTTCCTGCAGCTTAGAGAAAAGTAAAGGCTCCCTCTGCTGGATGGTTTTAGAAACTACAGTTAAAGTGATAACTGTCAGGCTAAAAATCAGAAACAGACACTTTTTGGCTAAAAATGCTTAATTTATGAACAATGCTGAATTTAGAAACAACAAATATAAAAACCATATTATTTTCTTATTCCATGTCCAGCCTGCAGGGATCTCTGCTTTGCTTCGTCTGGAGATTATTCTCTATTAACGATGTTCATGGAAAGTTCAGGATTTATATTAAAAATCCTTACACAACAATGTTTATGATAGCAAATTGTGCTTTATTAATTGATGTTGATGTCTCTGGCTTACAGTACATGAAAAATCAAGTATCAGAAACTCTGATTATTCCATCAGAACAATGAAAAAATATTTCTTCATACAGAAAAATGGGAATGTTGAAGATCATGTACCAAACAGAATCTGCAGTCAGACGTTGATCTGAGCTGCTGCTGCAGGCAGAGATAAACCCTAATAGCACTTAAAACATGGAGAATCATCTCACAGTGGTGACCTAAAAATAAAAAATATTATATATTAACTCTGCATTTAAATATATAAAATATATATATTTACATGCAAGTAAAAGCTGTTTTATTCTGATAATAAACTACTACATGATAATAGAAATGCTCGGTGAATATTGAAATCAGAGTCGAGGTGTGACCACAGAAAGACGCGCTGCACTGTAAAAACACAAAATATTACTAAGTATTGTTTAGTTTCTTGTGTAAATATCTTATTACACTTGATATGAGACAGAATTGATATTTATATTGAATTTCTCTTCCAGAAAGTCATATCAGGGAAAACTTCATACATATTTTTTAAATTAATTTCTTTAAGTTTTTGTGAGAGGGGAAAATAAAGGTGTTGGGCTGTTTTCTTTAGCCAGTTATCTCCAGCAATGACTTTGGAATATCTTTACTGTACATTTTAAAGTATTTTTGTTGCAGTTGTACCTTTTAGAAGTACAAATACCTAAACAGCAACCACTCCACCATTTGGATGTCAAAGTTACGACAGAGGCATGCTGTCCCAAATCTCAAATTTATGCATGCTTGTACCGTATGAAGTGTGTATTTAGATTGAGTCCACACTTCATAGAGGGGCGTAGGATGCAGGGTGAGTATTTGGACCGGGCCTTGACGTTCTGGCTCCAGCCTCAGGCCACTCCTTATGATGCTCCCAGAAAACCTGGAACGGATTTTGCGTCACCAAACTGTCATGGTTGCGGTTATTCCTATTGCACCTCTTCCTACCGCAGTTTGTCCTTCCACTTAACTTTCTATCAACATGCTTGGAAGGAGAACTCTGTATAACCAGCTTCTTTAGCAATGACCCTTCTAAAGAAACACAGCAAAAGGCGCCCGGACTGCGTTTCTGCTTCAGTTAAACACAACAAAGTTTGAACAGTTTTGTCGGAGAAAGACCTGATAAATTGCAGCAGCAACAAAAATGATTCATCTGCAAAAAAAAAAAAAAAGGCCTTTGTGAGGCTGAAGTAAATTTATTCCTGAGAAAACAAATACAGGCAGCACTTCTTAGCCCCTTTGTCTAAAATGTCAAACCAAACAAGATGAATTCATCTGAAAATAGACAAAACAGAATAAAATCAAAGGCTGTTTTATGAAATATTTAAGAATTTATTCAGCAATATTTGTAATAAATACAGTTGAGACATGAACCAGTTCATTTCCCCAGCAATTCCAAGAATAAATTATAGCATAATTCACTTGGACAATATAAACTAAGGGAGCACCGATTTCCTTCATTTTGGGAGACAAGTGATCGGCTGATTTTCACATATGAAGCTGATCTGATCCACCTCACCAGAGGTCGAAGCATCAGCCACTGTCGTCGTCTGCTCTGCAGTGACGGGCTCGACTGTTAGCCCCGCCCACCAGGTCATGTCTGCATGTTTGCAGTTAACAACACAGCAGCAATTCAGACAAAACAAAAAAATAAGATATTGGCCAAAATCAGAAACAACAGATCAGGCTTTTTAAAGATCTGTGATCGGCCAGAAAAGTGCAATCGGTGCAGCCCTAATATAAAATAGCTACAGTTGAAAAGAGCAAGAGTAAAAATAAGAATCTTTAGAAAGTGATTATCGTAATGAGCATTAAAAAATACTTTGCACATTTCTGTACACACATACTGTATATGTACCATATACTTGGTTTAAATCATATTGCAGGAGTTTTAGAAACCCTAAAAATAAATCATGTTTACAGTTTGACCCTTGACCTCAGACTGAGTTCATGTTCAGACCATAATGCTGTCAATCATTTCACCAAAGAGATCTTTAACCCGTCTTCATCACCCCTGTTACTGGTGTATAAAAAACTACTCAAAATTAAAAAAAAAGAAGCAACATTTGGTTTGGTGCAGTGAGAGTGGCGAAGGGAGGAAACTGGTTAATCTACCTTCTATGGCTCATCGTATTCTGCATATCACTGCAGACTGGGTAAAATATGCAAACAGGGAGCAAAGTCTTCAGTGCATGATAAAAAAACATTAGAAACGTAGAAAACAACAGATGATGATGATGATGATCCATGATATCAACTAAAGACCTTCAGGCTCCTGTAAACAGAACAGAAACTTTCAGGTAATCATTGATGAAATTTTCATCCTAATAGTCAACAAAATATGAAATAAAATCTAGTCTTTAGCTCCACTGTTCCAGAAAAAAAGTTTTTAAAAAGTAAAAAAGAAACGTTGCCGCCTGTCTGAATGAACAGGTTCTTCCCTCTGAAACTATTAACTGGTGTTTAGAAACAAACAGGAAATAAACTCACAGGAAGTGGTCGTTTAAACACCAGGTCCATTTCCTGGATCAGATGAGTTGGTCCTGGATGCATCAACTGGAGTCTGAAGAACCAAAAGGTTCAGAGAAACAGAGATTAATGTCCAGCTGCTCCTTCACCTCATGACTGATGTTCAGACGAAGAGATCTGATATTAAGAGAAACTCTGAGACCAACTGTAACGCTCACCTTCTGGGATTTTATTATGATGATCATGATGATGAGGCCGATGAAGAGGACAGCAAGTAAACAGCCCGCCAAAATGAGAGGACCTTCACTTCCTCCTGGGTGAAAAAGGACACAGGATGTAAGTTTTTTCCTCTTTAATGAAGTAGGAAATTAGTTAATGTTTAAAACAAGGAAGGAAAAATAAACTTACTGTTTGTTTCAGTGGCGTCTCTTTCAGAAAGGCTGGGTTCAAAGAGGTCTGTAACAGAAGAAAAAAAATGTTTTTACAGAAATATTTGTGATTTTTTTCCAGAAATCAGCTGGATTATTTTAGTCAAACTTTAGTTCTTCCTAAAAACATCCCAGAACTTAATCTGAAACAATTAATAGATGCAGAAATGCTAAAATACACAAAATATTAAATTTAAGGCTGTTGTAAATGATTATTTTAGTAATCGAGTACTCTAAAAAAAAAAAATAAATTATTGGTAAATACAAAAATGACAGCAGCATTATTATCGGCTAACAACCCTGGCCCAAATTTTCATATTCATGCATATCTACAATACCTTTTGTGTAGTTTAGAAAATTAACCTGTAACAATAATATAATAGCTCACTTTCTAAGTAAATCTAGACAAAAATTATGCAAAAGTCTGAAGGTATATTGAATCAAACAATAAAGCGGCAGGCTCACAAAGACACCAACAAAAAATGTCTATACTCCAGTTTTTAGTTTATGTATTCATCGTCAGTCAATTTAATAGATTAATTGTCACTTTGGCTTCTTTATCACACAGAAGCACATCTACCAGCTGCGTACCGCCACGATGCGCTTTGCCATCCCTTAGTTGCGGCCTGGATGGTGGTAAATTTATTTTCCGGTTTGTCTGTAAAGCATCAGCTACAACAGTCCGCTGTGCTCCATTTATATCTACATGTCTGCGCTGCACATGTATTAATACACAAACCATGCTCTTCCTCACGGTTCGCTCTGAACCAGCAGCTCCGGGAGGAGAAAGGCTGCCATACTCCAGGCATCACACCTGACAATTTAATGATGCTTACTGGTCCTACAAAAACGATGAAAACCCGGATATTATCATAAATCAATGAAATTACCCAGAACTGAACTTGCAAATTAGACATTATGCTGCTAACACTTAGCATCCATTACCAACTCAAAGGATGAAGTGAGAGCGCTGTGCAACACAAACAATCACCTGACAGGAACACAGTCCGCTAAATATTAAAGCATAAGTTAACGAAACTTCAAGGCAGACAATTTACCTCGAGGAATTTTAATAATTGAGGAACTCAAATCATTGGAGAAATCGTCACAGCCTTAATTAGATGACCAGATTTCATAAATAAAATGAGCAAATACTCACTGAGGGGTTCGGGTTGAGGGCAGTCTGGAACAGGAACACCAGGATTAGTTCAAACACAAACAGATTCAGGTCAACATGTTCTGACCCATCTAACCAGCTGGAACTGCAGTTCTGAGGTCAGGTTCGGGAGCGCCACCAATGTGGTCAAAAAGGTGACTTCATTTCTTAACAGTGCATCTAAAAATGTATTTATTTTCTTTTGAAGGAAAACAAATACAAGAATACAAAAACACCCTCACTTTTCCCCAGTTTTGCTCAAAAACTTCATTTCCAGTCTGGCCCATTTATACTGCTACACAAATTTCTATATTTGTGTCCCCAACCTGAGCACAGTGAGACTGATGTCAACACACATATGAATAAAAATAATTTGTCTTACTCTACAACTCCTCTCTGCAGTTTTTATTTCTCCTTGGGTTTTAGTGTGAAATCTAGAAACTTGTTCAAATATAAAAATGTTTGTGGGTCTTCTTACTGGTCTTGTTGAAGCTGATGTCTCCATGTTGACCCTCGAATAACAGCTCCTCCCCGCTTGTCAAGTTGCATAAAACCATGACGACGGTTTCTGACCATTTGACGCAAACAGAACATTTACGTTTTGATGCGTAAATGGACGAGAAGTCGCAGGAAGCCAACACTGAACCATTTCGGTACCAGAAGTCTCCATTGCTGATATGCTTGTTGTACACCGTATCGATGGATTGAGCCTCTGACAAAGGGCAGCTGTAGCAGCTGTAGTTGGCCTGAACAACAAGAAACAACAGGCTTCATGTCAACATGCAGCAGAAAGTTCAAGACAAACAGAATTAAAGCTAAAAACTCCTTCAGCTCTGGGACAAAATGATGGCGAAAAAACTCAATCAGTGGTGAAATGAAAGCAAACTGGAAACTGATTTTAAAAGACAAGAATCAGACCTAAGATGTTAACTACACTTGACACCTCTTCATGTCAGACTATCTAAAATATTTTTAATTAATTTGTTGGAAACATTAAATCAAATTTAACAGAATTGTCATTTTGAATAAACAGATTAAAATGTTGTACAAGTGTTCTGACCATCTGTGCTACCTCGTCAGGTTTTCCTACCGGAGCACGGATAGATAGCTAAGTCTATCTATCCGTGCTCCGCGTCTAAAACTCCTACTGTCATGTTTACAAACCGAAAACTACAGCAGGTTGTTAATGTTAAATACACTGGATAACTTTATTTGAGTGACGGGACTGAAGTGGAAGCTGAGGAGTTATGCTTAGCTTAGCATGGGAACAATTTATATGCACAACGAAACCACAAGAAGATCACTTCCTTCATCAGAATATCCTACCTGTTAAAATGTTTTAAATACAGAGGCGTTTGTAAGAATAAAACAGTATCAGACATGGGAAACAGGTTTTTATTGGAATTAAACAGACAGATACAGATCACTGCAACTTTTTTTTAGCATATTAATCCGTTGTATGACAGTTTTTATCAAATGCAGCCACAATGTGTCCACTGAACAGCGCAGATCACTGTGCACCTGAAATGATGGGATATTATTTGTATCCACTAATATTACACAGCTATTAAGCTAAAATATTTCAAAGTACAGGTACAGGGTTATAAAGCTACGTATAAATAAAATAAAGTTTACTTTAATTATCGACGAAATAAAACAGATTAAAGAAAACTTGGACAGGTAGGATGTATTGATAAGAAATCTGCTGAGTAAGCAGTATGTAACGCAGCATGGATGTGTGTATTACCACAAGGTAGGGCGGATTGATGGGTAGCACAGATAGTCAGAACACCGGCTCGAAATGCGATCAGCATTGCATCGTGTTTTCAGATCCACTGGCTGATGACTTAGTTAGGATTTAACAAATTTGCAAAAAAATTGTTTCTTTTTAACTTTCTTATTTTTAATACTCTATAGATGTGTGTTCAAGTGTTGTTAATGTCTCCCAGTAACATAAGTACTATAAGCAATACTATAAGCAATATTTTTACACTTCCTGTCACTGTAACATTGTTTAATATAAAAACATGGTGGCTGCCTGAATGAAAAGTTTGGATTGGCATCAATTAACACTGATTTATAGACATGCACAGTGAAAACCTGCAGGGAGGGAACTGACCTGTAATGTGTCTGCATATACACTCAAACACAGTTACGCCTCGGCCTGGACTGAAGAGAAGGACCTCACTGCAGCAAACAGGAAGGGGCGGGACGGACCACTGTCAGTCTCTTACCTTATTTGGAAATGGGGCCATTGCACTCCGGAAGTGAAGGGGGCGCTATTTCCTATGTTATCTGCAGTCTCCCGTTTTTATTTTCTTTTGAAATCTGTGATATGTTTTCACCTTCAGGAAGGAGTTTCACTCTCAGCATGTATTTGAATTTCTCTCTTTTATTTACTTCAGCGCAGCTCACAGTTCTTAACAAATCCCATAGTTTTCTGTGTACTTCTAAATCTGCTGCTTAGTCGCATCTTCTCGGGGTCTACTACTGCCTCTAGTGGCGTGGGAGTGGTAATACAACTAATATAATTACATTACTAAATCAGAACACCACAAAGTCTTTATTATTTATAAAAGTCTTTATTATTTATTATTAATTCTGGCATTACTGGAACCGTAAAAGATAAATTCCCTCACAAAACATTATACCTTTTCATTTTCTGAAGGAAGTAGAGCTAATTAAAAGAGACAAGAAAGACCTAAAAGTGGTTCCAGTTTCTCTCGATGGCCAACCTGTTGAAACTGGCAAATTTTAAATACCTTGGGTCATTCCTGGACAGTCAGCTCAACTTTGCTGAAAACACTGGCTATATCTTTAAGAACTGTTCTCAGAGACTCTACCTTTTAAGAAGACCCAATGATCTTTAACTTGACCCAATGATTTAACATTTTAACTTGAGTTTTAACTCATCTCAAGTTTTAACTGATGAGTGTTTTAGTTTCCGTTTGAGCTCATGAAGGCGTTATTGTGTTCCTCTGGTAACTATAGAACATGTATTAGAAGTCATTTATTGACAATGTAATAATGATTCTTAGCCAAACTAAATGACGACATTTACCTGTAGCATGCAAGGTGTTTTACTTGATGCACAAATTGTTGATATTGTGATTCTATGAATGGGTTTTATTTTATTGTTTTAGAGTGGAAGAAAAATTTCCACCTTGATAGACTAAATAGTTTAATCATATTTTTTCCTATGTATAAGGCTCTACCAAGAAAAAGACTCAGAATAATTTACATGGCACTGTAAAAACAAAAATGTGGATTATTGCTTGTATCTGTTTAACAACCCTGGTTATCTGTCTGTGAACCTAATTAATTTGTTCATTATTGACTTTTGCTCAATTAAGTTTCTTATGTATACATTATAAATAGTATTTTTATTAGGGATGCTCAGATCAGGTTTTTTGTTGCTGATAGCGATCACCCATGAGGCCGATCTCTCCTGATCACCTGGACTGACTTAAATTTTTTTTTTTGCATTAGGTATAAATGCTACTATGTGCTCTGACAAAATTTAAAAAATGATCTGGCAATAAATTCACCTAATTTAGGCATAAAACATGCAAAATACTTGCAGGCACAATACAGCAGCTACTCAGTCAAAAGGACAACTGAAAAACTAGCAATCAGTAAAATAATGTTTAATAGTAATAGTAATAGTACTATAAATTATACATGAGTCAACTAAATCTGCCTATATCAAATAATGTCAAGTAAAAGGAAACTCAAACGCAGCCTGAATCAAAATAAACAATCCTTCCTGACAGCGTGGCTAGCTGAGTAACGCTGGTTCTGATTGGTTGTTTCTGACTGAGCTGAGTAATTCTGCAGAACACAGGAGGAGGCAGAGGAGATCGATTATTTTCTCAGAGATTATCTGTCTTGTTAGGACAGTGACAGTTTTAATACATATCTAAAATCTTTCCTTTTTTTAAGTTAGATGCTGCAGCTTTAAACAGAGATTCGGTGTGAGAGTCACCACCAGGTGGAGCAGAAGCGAAGCTCCGTCTGTCAGATATTACTACCTGTAGCGTAGCAGCGGTTCAACAGGAGAGCAGAACCAGCGTCTGACATCGCAGCTCGAAGACTTAACCTGAAAAACATTTTACTTGTTTAGCTTTCTGACCGTGATGCTAATCCAGGTGAGTGTTGGTAGTTGTGCGCTGCAATCTGGCTGCTCCAGATGTCCTTTTTTCCTGCGTCAAGCCTCGATGTAGCCGAACTCCGTCAAGTGTTTGTTTTTTAAATATCACATTAGATTCATTGTGTTGATGCATTTTGACCTGCTTCACCCCTGAGGTAGTTTTCCGCCACAACACGCAAACTTCCCCGTTCACTCTCAGCGTTATCGTTCCACACCACATCGCTTAGGATTTGTTGCTGCGCAGTGTGAAAGAAAGAGGAGATCAGCTGCACACACAGGCTGCGAATGAGATACAGGTGATCGGCAACAAGAGACCGTGATCGGCGATCACCAATCATACACTTTCTCAAGGAAATCAGCCGATTATGATCAGTGGCCGATCGATCAGCACACGTCTAATTTTTATTATAGCTGATAATGTTGTTGTTCATGTCTTATTTCTTTTGTTCCTCCTATAATTGATTGAGATATATAGATTTTATAATGTATAAAAGTATTGTTTATGTCACCTAATTAGCTCTACATCCTGAAGAAAAATATGGTGTTTTAGAAGATAATTTATCTTTTACATTGACAGTAATGGCAAAATTAATATTAAATAATAAAGACATTGTGGTATTCTGATTTAGTGACGTAATTATATTAGTTGTATTACCACCCCCACACCACTTGAGGCAGTAGTAGACCTGAAAAGTTGCAACTAAGCAGCAGATTTAGAAGTACACAGAAAACTATGGGATTTGTTAAGAACTGTGAGCTGCGCTGAAGTAAATAAA